CCACAGGGCCAAACACTCCTCATTTTTGCTTCGTCTCGAATTGCTACACATAGAACAGAGGGAAAACCATCTGCTGGGCCCTGAGGACTGATTTGAGAACCACTGCTCTAGAAGAAATAATACAAAATGACTGGACATCTGAGGGGCTTCATCAGTTCAAAATGTCAGTGGGGGCTTTGTGTGGGTCAGACCTGGTCCAGACTCTTCTATCATCATACTTCAAGCCATCATTGCTGAAATGTTACCATAACCACCATGTTTACGCTAATAATAAGATCTTATGAAATATAGACGTTATGGTCATGCTTGGTGTCGTGTCTCTCAGTGTGCCTTTTGCATGATTTTAGAACTTCAGTCTTCATGGTGGGCAGTGAGATGTTCGCCAAATCACAGACATATTAAAAACCCCTTAGCATTCTTGGACGTCCACAAGCTAAAGGCTATTATTAGACAGAAAATAGTGCAAAATAGTTGAGTTATTATTAAGTTATAAGTATTAAAAGACAGAAACCACTGTCATGACTCTGTTCTGATGAAAGGAAATTCAGCTGATATATTTTAAATTCAGATGTAAACAAAGTCATGATCTGTTCTAGAGAAACTTCAGAAGTCAGAACTGTTTACAGTGGTGATGGGAGACAGATGGCTGAAGAATTTAATGACCCTAAAAGCGTCACACGAATATGTTTCCTGATAGAGACACTGTTTTAAGATAGTTTACGTTTATGAAAAAGTTTTGGCCTATAATGTATTTTTTTAATATGTTAATGACTCAGCGGTACATGTGGGGTGTTGTAAGGCAATATAGGACACAGTTAAGCTATAAAACATATAAAAATCAGAAGGCACATTAGAAGGTTCACTAATCATTTTAGATAAATAAAATTGATTTATTTATTATATAAAATGGCTACATTTATGTTGTACACTTTGTGACTCCTGGTTCCTATCAATTTAATTGTCACCAGGCAGCTTCATAGAAATCCAGGTCCAAGCCCCAGTTGAGTAAGCCAAGGGTGACCGTGGCAAGAAAAGCTTCCTAGACTCAAAAGGGGAAGCCATTCTCGTCTGGTCAACACTGCATAGCAAAACAATAACAAAGGGAAAAACAATAAGTGATGTGATTATGAATAGGAGCATGCTAGCGAATGTTTTGAATTTCTTTTGTCGGTTTCAACTTATTGTTCCAAATGTCAGAAAAAAGAAATGTCATGATATATTGTATATCAAGAAAAGTTCCTTAGGTATCATGATATTACATTTTTGCCATATCACCCACCCCTAAGCTCCGTATAGTGGGACACACATGTAAAATATCTATGAATCAGCATTTTCAGGTAAAGTTCACCACTATTATAAACAAATCTGAGTCAGTGAGATTCTCTACAATGAACCATCCCACATCAGAACACTCTGAATTCTTCTGTTTTTTACATCTCTGTGTTTGAATTCTGCAGGAATTTTGAAAAATGGATGGAATTCCCCTTTAAATACTGAAGTGCACTGAGCCTGATACCAAACACCTTGCATGTCAAGTCTTATAAACGCAGCTAATACCATAACTAAGCTGTTCCAAATATTGTTTCTTTCAAAATGAACACATTAGCCAAACCACCCACCCTTTATGTACGATTGCCAGCAGCAATGAAGGAGTGTTCCCTTCTAACATTCTTGTCAGCTTATTATCAAGACCTTCCTAAGTAATATCAAGAGCTTCATGAGATGAAATAAGATGAGCTGAGAAAACATGATAAGATGCAGTTATCTGTATATCACAACTACTGGATATTGTGCGCTCTTTGTAGATTGTAATGCCTAAATGCAGCTAATTTGAACCCTTAAATGCACACATGAGCTCATTTTCCCACCTCCACTTTATTAAGCCACAAAGAAAATAGTCAGGTGGAAGTTTGAAGATCGGTTTATGTTGGATATAAGCACTAATGACTTACAACGTGTATAAATGAATGGTGAGTTTAAACAATAAATTCACTTTTGTAGCAGTACTTCATATACTCCAGATGTATTCAATCACCAGGCACCTTTGGTGTCCAAATATTGCTTCTTTAGTTTAGCGCTGGAGCTGCCTGGTTAACATTCCTAACAAACACTAGAAATCAATAGTCACCCATTTTTTTTCAGTAAATACATCCCCAGAACTCAGAATCTGCTCAAACACATCCAGCTCTACACTAAGGTGTACAGGCTTGTCGGTGTGGTTCAGAACACAGTATGACTTACTGTGAGTTATAAATATGAACATAACTCTGTGTAGCTGAACATAGCATTTAGACAACGGCTGTTATTGCATAGTGGTTGGTGTAGTGTAGTGGGTAACACCTCTGCCTTCTACACTGTAGACAGGGGTTCAATCTTAGGCTGGGTAAGCACCCTACACTATACCACTAAGAGTCCTTGGGCAAGACTCCCAACACTACCTTCGCCTACCTGTGTAAAATGATCAAATTGTAAGTCTCTCTGGATAAGGGTGTCTGCCAAATGCCTTAAATGTAAATGTAAATATTTAGATATAATATGATTTATGACAACTAAAAATGTGTAGGGCTTTTGTGTTATTAATTACGTTGTGACTCAATCATTATAGCGATATGACTTAGGGATGTGAGCACTCTCACTCAGAAACTATCGCAGTGTATCCAACAATAAAGGCAGCATGAAGCTTTTATACAGCGTTAGAAAACACGGTAGCACAAAGAAAGCTCCGGTTCCACCTGCTGATCAATTATACCCTGACCAATGTGGGCCGGTGTTTACCCTGACCATCATGGACATGTGTACTCGCCAGTTACTCTGTGGGCAGATTTTAATTAAAGATGAGTTCAAGGGGACAAAGCCAAAGCCAAGTTTTGGTAGGGTTAATAGAGTTCATCATGAAAGTATGGGAGGAGCATGTTACAGTGATTACTTCACACCCTGCACAGTGAAATCGGTATATAAGCTACTCCTTACCTCTCATAGTCTAGTGAATTTTCCATAAATACATCTTTAAATCGTCTATCAAATCTCTCAAACTGCATGCTGGTCTACTTTAAGGTAGTGCAGACTTGTAGGTGTGGTGAATGACACAGTATGATTTACTGTGAACTATAAAAATGAAGGGCGGCACGGTGGTGCAGTGGGTAGCGCTGTTGCCTCACAGCAAGAATGGCCTGGGTTCGACTCCCAGCCGGGTGGCCAGGGTCGTTTCTGTGTGGAGTTTGCCTGTTCTCCCCGTGTCTGCGTGGGTTTCCTCCGGGTACTCCGGTTTCCTCCCACAGTCCAAAAACATGCAGTCAGGCTGATTGGACATGCTAAATTACCCCTAGGTGTGTGAGTGTGTGTGAATGTGTCTGTCTGTCTGCCCTGCGATGGACTGGCGACCTGTTCAGGGTGTATCCTGCCTTCCGCCCAATGACAGCTGGGATAGGCTCCAGCACCCCACCGCGACCCAGAAGGATAAGCGGTTTAGATGATGTATGTATATATGTATGTATAAAAATGAACAAAATTAATGAATTTTATTAATTATATGGCTGAATGCAGCGGGCAGACTTTAGGTGCTGTGCCGAATTCACACAAGCATGTGGACGTTAGTTTATTCGTGATGTCTGATGTTTTTGTTTATAAACACATATATTCAGTTCAAAAATCAAAAATGAACAGTTTTATAAGCAGAAACAGCATAAATTGTGAACAGAACCCATACACCTGCATGAGGTGCGGTCATTCAAAAGGAAGTCAGAATTTGGTACAACACCTGTTGTCTGAAGTGGCTGCCCACTGTGTTTAGCTACACAGCGAAATTGTGTCATATTTATAGTTTACAGTGAGTCGTACTGTGTCTGAGTGGATTGAGAGAAGATTTATTTACGGAAAGGATTTGGGTGACTATTGACTTCCAGTGTTTGTCAGCAATGTTAGCCTGTGCTAAACTAAAAAAGCAAAATATGGACACCAAGCATGTCTTGGCTGATCAGTTACATCTGGCTTGAGTGGGAAATTGTGTACATTTTTCACTGAGCCTCTTCTTAAAGCACTTAATGAATTGATGAACTGTGTGTGTTATTGAACAGCTGTTTAATATTGATTTTACCTTTTATCTTCTTCAGGATCTGCAGCAGGTGATGGTTTCTGGGCCCAACCTGAACGAGACGAGCATCGTTTCTGGGGGTTATGGAGGAGCCGCTGAGGGCATCATCCCCACCAGCTCCATTAAAGGTGCGTCATTCTTATCAATTTACACGATTTTGGCTCATCAGATCACCTTTGTACTCATTTTGTGGTTTGTTTTAAGCCTTTCTGCAGACGGAATTGCACTCAAAACCTTGCGAGTCTTTTATTTTTTTGCCGACATATCTTTTAGGGCCAGCTATTCTTTTCAACGAGGAGTATTTTGAGAGACGATGTGGTAACGCCCCCAAACCAGGTGTCTTTATGCAGTCATGTGAACTTATTTTATTATATCTTTCATTTTAAAGTTCTCTCTCTCCTTTTCTACCAGTGAACTGCACGTGATCTTTTTAAATTAGTTATTAAGCTCTTGTTGAGTGTTAACAGAAAGCGTTTGCCCCTTTTCTACAGGCTGGAAAGAGGACATTCTGGCTGCATGCTAGCTTAAGTTGGGAACGCTAACTAACAAGAATGTATTTTCCTGGTGTATGTATGTTCCTTAGAGCAGTGGTATGTATGGTCTGTTTGAAGAATGTTACACAGAATAACACGGATTAATGCTTGATGTGACCCCCTGGCATTTAGGGGATGGTTTAACATGTTCACGGTATGATAACCTAGTCAAAAATATCACGGTTTCACTGTATCACAGTATTAAGCGATCTCTCATCTTAATCTCTCTTATCATATTAAAATGAAATAAACATTATATTAACACTTCATTATAAGGAACACATAATGGGGTTAATTAAAGTCTTGTTATCTGTGCAGTAAAGCCCAAATAACCCACTTGTAAATGGGTTATTCATTATATGTTAAGCCTTATTCATTATGACCTGAATTGGTGCATAATTCGAGGCCTAGTATGTGAAAATCATTAATAATCGCATTATTACTTGTCATAATGCACAAAAAGCACTTGGTTAAGACCGTATTATGCAAATGACTAAGCTTGAATTAATCACTTAGGTTCACATCTGATTAGTGTAGAATCGGCAACATTTTATTCCTATAGGTTCTATAGGTCCTATAATGAGAATCATTTTGGTAGGCAAAACCAAAGCTGGGAATATTTTAAGTTAGTTTCAACTCGTTTTAACCACTGAATGCAAATACATGAAACTCTTGTACGAAGCAGGTCATTTCTTGTGATGTAAATATCATGAATGCACTATATAGGCAGAAGTATGTGGTCACAACCCCTAATGATTGAATTAAGGTGTTTTAGCCACACCTATTGCAAACAGGTGTATACAATCATGTGCATAGCCATGCAGTCTCCATAGACAAACACTGACAGTAGAATAGGTCGTATTGAAGAGGCTAGTGAGTTTAAATGAGTCACTGTCATAGGATCCACCTAAACAAATAACAAGACCTATAAACCCCAATATGTGTCCCTCAAAATGATATCCAGTTGTCATTATTAGCTAAAATGCGTACTGAGCCAAAAAATAAAATGAACTCAAAATGCCTTTTAATCAGCATTTTAAAAGTAAATGATGGGGTGGCTGTTCAGTCATGCACTGTGACTAACAGTGAAGCTGTGACACTGTAGTAACCCTAATGGCATTGTGGAGTGAATGGGCTTCCTTTAGTGCATTGGACCTGCAACGTTGACTGTTGTTGTTCAGTCACTTTTATTTATCATACAGTCTATTGATGTCGTTTTCTCCCCTTTCTTTACTGATTGTTGTCATTAACCTCTGACCGCTCACCTTAAACCCTCCTTCACTCGACTGTTTAAACAAGTGAAGCTTAAATGTGTCGACGCTGTTGCTGTTAATCACTTTGCATATTTTGTGTGTTTGTTTTCTAAAACCATTACCATTGTTCACATTGCATCACTCTTATCTGCTGACCGCTTGTTGCATGTGCAGCATCTCTTTCTCCAATTTTAACCCTTAGAAGTCTAGCTACTATTGTTTTTGCTATACAGTTTAAATGTAATAACTGTAGTTTTGTAAAGAATTACGTCTACATTCTGCTTTGACTGTTTTGTATCGATGTCAAAAAATAAAATAATGGCAAAAATGTACTTTTCTTATGGAAAAAATTATCAGCATCAGACAGAGATTTGGCTGATATTTTAAACCGATATATGATAATGTATCTATTGTACTTGGGCAGTGCAGAATGATTAGGTGATGCTGGGTTACTGTGCAAAAAATCTGCGTTTTATTTATTTTACTGCATTTGTAACCTTAAAAATGTTATATTTCTCTGTGATGTCAGTTCGGGTAGATTTAATCCCAAGTTCTATATTGTATAAAACAATAAACCAAAATAAACGTTAAATTTACAAAAATAAACAACATTGTATATGTTATAAATCAGCAGATATGTCCATGAAAAATATCGGATATCGGCGTTGACTCACAATTCTTATATCTGTGCATCCCTACATTTTTTTCTTTCAGCAAAACAGGACAGTCTGCATAACCATTTAATTCCATCAAATTCAGACCCTGATAAAATATTTTCTCTTTAACCCACAAACACAAGAGTTGTATGCATTGAAAGTTAAGATTCTGCACTTTTTGTTTTAGTGAGCTGTGAGTTTGAAATTATTAAATGTCCCATATCATGGAAAACTAAATATTTCTTTTCTTTTTTTTAAATAAAGTTTGATGTAGTACGTACACATTGTTAAAGTTTCAAAACATGCCGTTCACTCTCCAGTCCCTTGAGTTCATGTATGAAAGCTAAACGTTTTGAATTCATGGTTTTTCTGATTTTATGAAAACCATTTCATTTACATATTTTCAGTGGTTTAGCCCCGCCTATTCACACCGTTTCAGGTTGCATTGCTTTTTGAATGAGGCACTATACAGGGCAGCCAATCAGAGCAGAGCTCATTTACATACGTCAGTCCTAAGGCACAGTAACAAAAGCAGCCTGTTTAGGGATAAACTGAGGTTGGAAGACGGTCCTCAGGGGAAAAATATAAAATGCAAGAAAAATTAAGGCACTTTTAATCTAAAATTAGTCTGCTTTTATTAATGGACCGTGACAATTGAGACTTCTAATGGTTAAAAAAAACTCTAAAAGGTTTTAAATGTGCTCATAACACTTCTTCTCATCCCCACCCCCATCCCACCCATACATCCTCACTCTTGTCCACTCATTTCAGACCTTCGTTCCAAGTCTAGGGGAATTCCCCACAGCCAGTCAGTCACCAGCCGGATAGCCCGCCAACCAGATCACCACCCAGGTATCACAGGGGCTGGTCAACACTGTGTTCCACCTCCAGTCACTTCATTTTGCTTCAGTTCAGTCATCAGCATTACACTTCGCGTTGTCTCATTCATTTATTCTCATTCACTCTTAAGTCAAACTTTGTAATCAGATCAAGTGTTATTTTTTTTATTTATTTTTTTTTGGTCTCTAAAATGGTAGTTTTAAGTCGTACCCCTGATTCTGACTTTTTATAGTCTTCCATTCTTCCCCCAAGGTCCCAGCATGCACCACAGCAACAGTCATCCAACCATGATGTCAGAGGAGGCCACACGAGGCATAGCTGTGGAGAAGTTTGACAGTGTGAAGAAATGGAGCATCAACACTTATAAGGTATGGATCCTTCACGATCCAGTGTTATTCTCCAGTGAGATTATAATAGTCATTAATCACAGTTTTTGCTTATCAAACGTGTAAACATGCATTGATTTTGGAATGTTAAGATTGATTATAATAATAATTATAATAATATCCAAAAAACTATTCACACATTTTGTGGCTTCTCGAGTTGTTTTTATTGTTTATATTGAGTTTTCAAACATTTTTTTCAGAGGACCTATATTTTGTCGATGTGTCTCATTTACAAATATCTTCCTACTTTTTTTATTTGTTCTTGAGAAAGATTCTAAGAAAAAGTCTACATCAGATTCATGACGTGTTCTTAAACCGCAGAACTGTTCACACCTTTGTGTTTTTGAGTGTGTGTAGATTCTGTTCTTACCTAAGAACAAATAAGAAATAAGAAACATTGGTGAATGTCAGCATCATTGAAAAAAACCGTGCAAGTGGGTTTGAAGAAGAATTTTCTTCTTTAGAACAGTTGAATGAGGTCCATTGGTTTTCAACATGACCAAAGCAACACAACAAGGCAAAGAATGCATCCAACACTGACAGTTACTAAAAGCACAGATGGAAACAGTTACTTAATGAGAAGGGTGGACCTGGTCATTATGGTTCAGTCTCATTTTTTCTTGAAAAGAACCTTTCAGTGCTACCCACTGTTGCTGACGTCTTCATTTCTCAGCAGCACTATTTACTATATCCAACAAATTAAAGGTTTTAACAGCAGCAGCTAGGCTAACTAATAAACACAGTTTGGGTTGCAACATTTCATAAAGTGGAATATAGACCGGAGTTTTCTGGGGTCACAGACCAAACCAACAAATAACAAAAAACTAATTATGAAGCAAAATAATTGAATCAAGATGAAATCTGAGATTTCATGATGCACTGAATCATTTCCTAAAGAATCAAAACCGAATCAAATCATGAGGGCAGAGATTTACAGCCCTGCTGTTCAGAGTTGGGACCGAACACTGTATCAGTGCCAACTTCACTACTTCTGATTTCTCATTCTTTCCTATGTGTAGTGGAAGACTTAGCAAAACCTAGATTAGCAGGACAGCATCACTTTATTCTTCACTAAAAAATCAAAAAATGAAAAATAATTGTGTGAACTGTATATAATTGTGTCTTTCCATTCAGTCAAATAGAGTCAAAACATATAAATGCAATGCAATTTTCATGCACTCTGTCTCTCTCTCTCTCTCTCTTCTCTCTCTCCTTCCTTTGTCTCCAGTGCACAAAGCAGATGTTCTCGGAGCGTTTCGGCCGCGGCACGCGGACAGTGGACCTGGAGCTGGAGGCGCAGATCGACGTCCTCCGCGAAACCAAGCTGAAGTACGAGCACATCCTGAGACTGGCCCAGGCGCTCAGCGGCCACTTCTACAACATGGTGCAGACGCAGCAGGCCCTGGGAGACACCTTCGCTGACCTGAGCCAGAAATCTCCGGAGCTACAGGTGACAGCACTGTGCCCCTGTTTTGTTATGAGGGAACATGATTTTGTCTAGTTTGCTGTAGTAAATGGGCTAATACGAAATACTGAGTAACCAGGTGATACCAGGAGATTTCATGATGAAAATCCTATAAAATGTTCTGTTCTGTGCTTAAATTATTAGTAAATGTAGATAAATGTTATTATGTGTCTTTAATAAGGGTGTTATTAAGTCTTTACTGAAATATGTGCACCGTTCTTCAGGATGAGTTTGGCTACAACGCAGAAACACAAAGACTTCTGTGCAAGAATGGGGAGACGCTTCTCGGTGCCGTCAACTTTTTTGTGTCCAGCATCAACACCCTGGTCAACAAAACCATGGAGGACACACTAATGACCATTAAGTTGTACGAGAACGCAAGGTACACCAGCTTAAATGTAAATATTCTGAACAAGTGCATAGTAGTGTTCTTATCAGTCAGTCCCATCTGTTGAACAGGCTGAATCCACACATTAGTGCTATTTTTCTCAAATGTTTTCAGTGTTTTAGTATTTGAGAAAATAGGAATGTTTCTTGTACTCAGATTGAGCTTTGTCTAATTGTAATAATAATAATAATATGCCTTTTCAGTAATAATAGCGCCATTTTTAAAACCAAGAATGCTTTACAATAGTAACAAAATATACAATCAACCATAAACAAAACAGCCCACGTAGCTGCACTGTAGCATAGCCCCAGTGACCGACTCTGGAAACCTCTTTGCTGCAGTGTAGCATCGCTAAAGTGGCGAGCCAAGGAGCCACTAAGCCACGAGAGATAGTTATTCTTGGCTGCTATTTTGGCCAAAACAGTGGCAAACTTGTTAGCGAGTGCAGAACGACTGAAACATAATACAAACAATACAGAACACCCAAGCAAAACTGATGTAAAGCAGCAGCCATATTGCGCCAACATATTAGGTATAACCCCTCAAATGCACAGCCATTTACCTCAGGATCCTTTACAACCTGGCACGTACATTTAAACAACCCAGACTGGGTTTCCCAAAAGCATCTTCAGACAAAGATTCCTAACTGGCAGAGCGAGTATCACACTAAACACTCTCTCTACCAGATGATCTTAACACTAAGATGCTTTTGAGCCCTGATCTTTTGCGATGACAGTGTAAAACTGTCAAAACAATTTATTCACATTAACAAAATAATAGGGTTAAATATATTGTTGCTGTTGTGACAAAACCTTGTGTCTCCATTTTTGTAGTTTTTCATTTTGTGACTTAGTTTGAAAAAGGCAGTTGTCTTAGTTTATGTTGTGTCAAAATTTCATGATGAACAGACCAACAGAAATGGTCCAAAATTACTTGGAAAAAATATTTCTTTATTTACTTCCATTAAAGGTTAATAACGTTTTTCTTTGTCCTGTAACGTTGCCTGTTGCAAGGTTTTGTTCTTATAGCAGAACAAAAATGAAACAGGTAGAAGAGGTGAAAAGAGGGTCTCCAGTGATCTGAGTTATACATTTAAGAGTTAAAAAGCAGCTATTTACTTGCTGAAAATGCTTTAGGTCCACACTGAGTGAGAAAGGCACTGTGTTGTATCTGCAGGTTGGAGTATGATGCCTACAGGACAGATCTGGAGGAGCTGAGCGCTGGTCCCCGGGATGCTGCCACCATGGTGCGCATCGAGGTGGCCCAGCAGGAGTACCAGATCCACAAAGACAAATACGAGCGCTTACGCAGCGACGTCACCATCAAGCTGAAGTTCCTGGAGGAGAATAAGGTAGACTTTAACTTGAAAGTTAACCCAGAGGGAAGAAATATTCTAAATGAGGTCTCCTCTTCATCTCAGTTACTTCTAGACGTGGTTAAGTCCAGTTTGAAATCAGAGTGAGACTTAAGCCATTTTCTCCTGTTTCTGAAATTTGGCTCATGAGAAATAAAACTCAGTTCTCACTTTGATCAAAATATTGTCACAGATGTGGCTGAACTCTTCAGTGTCTGACTCCTCTCACCCCAGTCTCAGCTGAGTAATATTTCCATAAGAAAACTGTGAAATATCATCGTCATCTGTCATTGCAAAAGGAGAAATGTTTCTCTCATTCGTCTCCAGAACGTCTTATAGTGAAAAGCTGATGTTAATCTCCTCTTTTCTCCTAAGGGGGGTTTAGGAGAAACAATTCAGAAATCAGTGATTCTTCATTAATGTTATATTGAGATCTGCTTTATTTCTCTGAGACAATCGTATGACAGAATTTTTTTCCTCTGGAAAGTTGTCTTGGTCCAAAATTATTATTAAACATATTTAAACATGTAATGTCTTTATCTATTCACCAAGTTATGATTTTTAGCTCTCAATATCATTTGTATGATTAGAGGAAGCGTGTATTATTCACCATTGCCTCTTTTAATCCTTGTAAGTCTAGAATTATCGTTGCCCTTCGCTATACATTTTATTTCCATCGCACATTAAATATATTTAATTTAAATATATATTACAATACACATAAATCCGAATTTGATTCAATATGATACGTTAGGGTCTCGATTTGATCCGTAAGGAGTGGCTGAAAATGTGTTAATGTCTTAATTATCAGTTTATTACAGCATTCAACGTTATTAAAGCTCAATATTTGAACCAAAAACTGTGTCATATAGTGCTCTGATCTAGAACTCTAGCCACACGCTAATATGTTAAGCCAAAGTTAACCCAGCTAACAGGGAACGTTCCCACAACTTTGACTAACGTTAAGACGCTACTTACATGCTAATCACGATACAACCATGTGATTCAATACAGTAGACTTCGATAGTGTTCCATATGTAATATTGTTACATTACTAATAGTTACATAATTACTTTATGAGCAGTTAATATTCTGTATAAACAAGTGTAGGTTTGACTTTTTCCATTTGTTTCAATGTCAGAAAGTGATAAAAACGTCAGTTAAAAGATGTTTTTATGATTTCATCAAAGTCAGATCGTAATAAAATGCCTCCTCGTCTACTTCCAAACACAAATGTGACGTGGATTCAAAAGACGACATGCCTTTATTATTGTTATTAATTACCGCAACATCGAAGGGTTAACGTCTGTTCTGTTGCTTTGTGATCGGCAGGTGAAGGTGATGCACAAGCAGCTCCTCCTCTTCCACAATGCAATCTCGGCCTACTTCGCCGGGAACCAGCAGCAGCTGGAACAGACTCTCAGGCAGTTCAGCGTGAAGCTGAAGCCCCCCGGCTCAGACAAGCCATCGTGGCTGGAGGAACAGTGATTAAGCCGACAGCCTCTAGAGACACAGGCCAACCGGAGGATGGACTGATGTATGGATATGCTGACAGATGGACATATGAATGGATGAGGTTTCAGTGTTAACCACACTATGAAAAGAGATCTGGTTTCATTTGAAACCAGACTGTATTTTGGTCAACGAGAGGAGAAACCTCTTCTCATCTGTCTCTCGAGATCCTGGAAGTTATTTTGGATATTTTTTTTTGTCACACAAAGTGTAACATAATCACATATTTGTTCTGTATGTGAAAGGCACCTTCTAGGGAAGTTATTTTAATCACTTTTATTTCAGAATGGAAGAGAGTATAGTGGTTGTGCGTGTGTTTGTGGACATGATACGCTGGAATGAGGGCATGTGATGGAAAACTGTTTACACTACATGTCATAATAAGGTAATTAATGTATATTATTGTGTAAATTACAGTGTAAAGTCTCACATATCAAATTAAACAGTTTGAAGAGATTGCAGCATCTCTAAGTTTGTCATTAAATATCTAAAGACCTTGACTTTATCAGTCATTACAACGATTTAAAACCCTGCACTATGATTCTACATTATCTCTACTGTCTCTCACAATTCACCCGTCACTCGTGAAGGATAGTGTTAACAATGGAGATACAGCTGATCTGATATCGGATCCTCTGTGAGATCATCTCTGCAAGACACAGTAAATCACAACTCCGTTTTTCATGATTGTCCTGTTGACCTTCTGACATGCCATACTAAGGGTTAACCCCTAAAATCCCAGGCATATTACATGCTAAAGCTTATTATTCAAAACTATGCAAATGCAAACGGCCTGAGTAATCATTAAGTGTAATTGGCCATTCAAGAGGTTAGAAAAGCATTTTGGTTATAGTAACTGATTTTAATAGAAATCAAACAAGGAAAGTAAGGCTTTGTGTTGAGTTTCTCCTTTTTAACTCATTCTGGTTATGAGATATGCCCTTCCAAATGCTTTTATACCCCAAAGCATTGACCTAATCCTGGTGGGCTGGTAGCATTTTGAGCTGGTTACTGCGAGCTAATGTATCTCTCTCTGTGTAACTCTGAGAAAGCTCAGACAAACTAGTTATAAACGTTACATTAAGTGTATATCTGTATTGATTTATGGGTTAAATCATCGGCCCCCACCTCAAGTAGTCCAGCCCTGGTTTGCTGATTGTAACTAAGTGTCGTTTAGTGGATAGAGATTAGCTGAAATTAGCTTCTTATCCTCCATTTCGCATTCTCACTAATTTTAAGTAACCTAGCTAGCATTAATTTGTAGCATACTGACTCTCATGATTTTGCCATATTTAAGAACAGGCAATTTCTACAGTTTAATTTTTTTTTGTCATGAGCCTCTGTGGTTATCTGAGTTTAGTTTTAGTGAAATAAAGATGAAAACGTGCAGATTTTAGAAAGAATGCTCTGTGTGAAGGAGTTTTAGGTGGGCTGGTCTGCAAGGGTTTGCCTAAAAGCCTAAAAAAAAACATGACTATCACATTTAGGATGAAAAAAAATATACATATTTTATTAAGCTTTATAATAGCTAGCCATTTTGGTTATCTACTGAGTCCCTAAAGTCCCTGCTGAAAAAAGACCATTAGAAACCATTGGGATCAAAACCTAATGGTTGTGCTTTTTAATCAAAATTGGCTTATGGTTTCCTATGGAGACCACTAGTTTCCTGTAGAACACCTTTAGATGCCATTAGGAAACCATCAAATGCTTTTAGAATCAGCCACTGGTAACTTAGTAAACCATTTGGATCCTTTACATTGTGATATCAACCCATTAAAAAAAGCCAAAACACATTTCAAAACCACCAGGAACCAACAGAAACACTTAATGGTTTCTTTGTGTCTTTCAGCAGGGGTGCCAAAGTGTTGCGCAAAAAAAAACACTTGCCCAGTCGGAATTGTTTACAGTGCTAGTGGTAGGAACCAGACATCTGAAGAGTTTCACACCTCTTAAAGCTCCCTCTTGTAAAGTTATTATACGAAATGGCTCGATATATGCGGCCTGAAATCTGACACATTGTTTTATCATAGTTTTGTGATAAAGTTTCGGCTTAAAATTTATTTATTTTATATTTATTTATATTTTAATCAATTTATTTTAATCCATTCATGATGGAGAGGTATATATAGGGCATTGTGAGGCAAAATATTCCCCAAAGAGATGAGATTTCTGACTATTTTAGCATCATCAGCATTACGTATAAAAACCCAGAAGGCACACTGGTGGTTTTGGATAGTAAATAAAATGGCTACATTTGTGCGGTAGACATCACGACCACTGTAAAGAAATCAGAGACTGTACGTTTCTCTACAATGAAACATTTCACATCAAAACACTCTGAATCACTGTTTACATCTCAAGTACTGAATTATTTAGAAATTTGGAATAAATAGTGGAATTCCCCTTTAATCACGGCCCCTTAGGGGCTCTGTTATCTGTGTAGCGTGTAAAGAAGAAATAAGAGTAAGAAATGAATAAGATGGAAATACGTAGATTCTGTTATTTTGCAGAAAGGCAGAGTTAAGTATGTGAGAGAGAGAGATTTAGGTGGGCTGGTCTTTGTGTTTTTGCCTAAAAACCAGAAAACGCAAAAGGCAGCAACGGTTTGTTTTCAACAGCTCTGAAGAGCCGTTGCTAATGGCTAACAGCGCTAACAGCTAACAGCTAACAATGTGGATCCACTTAACTGCGCTGCGGTCGAGGTTTTCAGATGAATATCTTTGGGCTGTGTGTGTGTGTGTGTGTGTGTGTGACGGTGAGGGAGGGTGGAACTGGGCGTGATTAGTTTATTGCAACACACACTTTTCTCCTCAGGCAGCCCAGCACACTCTTTCACCTCTGATAGTCACACAGTAGAAGTCCTCAGGAAAGGCTAACTTTCCCCTTTCATGGGCTACAATACACTAATATTCCACCGAAACAGTTCATTTTAAACAGGTAAGTGACTTTAACTCTCCACCAGTGACTTTATCATGTTTAAATCAAGAATAAGTCTAGACTAAGAGCTCATTTTAACTGTACGTTGTTTGACCACCTCTCTACTCCCTGGACATGGTAATAATAATGACAGGTTTGGTTCTACATAGTTGTCTTGTTGTTTTAGTCCTTTTTGATCTAATGTTTAGCCTGCTGACTACTAGAAATGTGTAGCCTCGCCCTTCTTTCCTTTCTCCCGCCAGTGTGGAGATCCATATTACCCTCCACAAAACATCATGACGTTCTACCATGCAGGAAGAAACTGAGTTCTGTGTGTAGTGGGCCCAAGTGCCACGACCAATGGCTGACCCACCGCCACCACCACCACCACTTCCGCCACCACCTCCACCTCCTCCACCTCCTCCTCAACCCCCTGCACTCAACTCTGGTGGGAATCTGCTGTCTAGAGGGTCCAGACGGAGCTCCAGGATGCGAAACTTCAACTGGGAGGCCATACCCCAGGACACCGTGCTGGGCAAGCATAACATATGGACTGTGGAGAAGAAAAAGGAGTATGAACTGGACACCAAGCGCATGGAGGAACTGTTCAGCCGCAACGACCTAACTGACAAGCGTCCGGCGTCTGTGCGGCGGAGCATAAAAGGAACCCAAAGCAAGGGCCAGAAGCTCCAAGGGCCAGAAGTGGTCAGTTTTCTTTTTCCTTTGGGTTTGTTCTGAGGTGGCTAGAGTAGCCTGAACCCATACTCAACGACAAATTTAGTTTCTTTGGTGGATACTCAGGCATGTAAAGGGGAATTTCACTGATTTAAAAAAAATCAGTATAGTTTAGTCATTAAGATGTGAACTAAGTCATTCAGAGTGGTCTGATGTGAAATGGTACATTGTAGAGTAACTTATCGAGTCTGATTTCTTTACAGTGGTGTCGGTAGGAACCAGACGTCTCACAACACTCTGCATGTATTTCCCGCCCCACGTAGATTTTAAAAACTATTATAAAACTGTGTTTCAGGCATCAGGCATAACCAATTGATGTAATAGCTTTCTTAGAGGGAGCTTTAGGAGGCTTTGAATGCTTCAGACGTCTGGTTCCTATCTCCAACACTCTGAACTATTCTGACTTGGTCAGTTTCTCTAAAATGGAGACTTTGTTTACATCTTAATGAGTTAATTATGCAGATGTTTTGAAAAATCATTGGACATCCCCTTTAACTATTGAGTAAACTATAGAACTGCAGTGGAATTTTCTAGAACGTCCAGCATCGATTAGCAGGAACCGACATTTGTTATGTTTCTTTGTGGTTAGTACTCACCTCTGGTTGTATGCACATTTACATGACAGCATGGGAACAGTGGGACAGATAGTATAGAGCCCTAACACTATTGCAAACTCAGCCTCACCCTTGACAGATTAATGTGCTTGAGCAACACGTGAACCGTAAAATTCCTGAACATGACGCTGATCCATACATGTCAGGAGTTATGAGGCTGAACTTGCCTTCTTATTCACCAGCTTCTTATTCGAACTGCTGTGACATTTAAGATGGAATGGAAAACTCGGGTAAGAAGCTGGAGAGTAGGAAGCCAACCTCAACAGTATCTGTCTGTATGGACTTTGCATAAACCGTTGGCCTTATGGTCTGTTATCTTTCATGGAATTGTAGACAGTAGTAATTCTCTTGGACTAAATGTTAAGCCAGTGGCTGAAACATCTTAGCATGAATTGCCACTTGGCATAATCATTATACGTTTAATTAATTTTGGTCTATTGACCCAAATTGAATTTCTCAGATCTGTGCTCTGCTGAAAACATCACTATTTTATCGATTGGTAGTTTTTTAGTAGAATTTTAGTTATATGTTCTGAGCTGTTCTTTCAGTGTAGTGTATGGTGTTATAAGTGAAATGTGCCGTTGCTATGGAATGTGGGGGAACTTGGTTTCATAACATTTCTGTTATCGGTTTGCCTGTTTTGTCTAGCAGATGGAAAACATGTGGCGTCCACTTTAAACTGATATTGTTATTCATATGTTTATGATTAAACCATGTGTCCATTAATGAAATAAGACTAGGCCTATCATAATTATTACATGATCACCTGGTCACAAATATTTGAGCTGACCACAGTAATTTTCCACAGTTGTTAGCTTTCACAGTCGTATGTTTACAGCAAAATATACAGAATGTGAATTGGGAGCCTTTTTATAATATATATGTAAATTGCTGTTGTCGGAAGAAAAATCTTCATTTTTGTCGTTTTTCAGTTTTTTACATAATTTGAAAATACCTGTTACTCTTTACATTGTATGTAAATTTCATGATGAATGAACTTAAAGAAATGACCTAAAATGACTTGGATGACTGGTTCCATTGACTTCCATTAAAAGTAAAGTATGTTTTTTTCTTCTCCTGTAAAGTTACCATTTTGGAGACATGAGTTTTTTTTTCCAACAACAGCGAAATGAAAGAAAATAGTTATATATTTATATGTACTTTTATTAAGACACATTATGGTTCAACTTGTGACTGACACACCAGAGGGCAGCAGTAAGTACTGTTTGTTTATTTGAGCTCGAGCTGTTTCTGTTATACCAGGTGGCAGCTAGAGTCAGCAGCTAGGAAGCAAAGACAGCTAACCCTCCAATTTGGCCACTTTAGGCTTAGTTAACTGAACCAAAAAAGACTATTACATTGCTAATTGAAATTATTTATATCCGATTAATTCTCAGCTAACATTTCATGATCATAGCAGGTTTATACATGACCAATGCTTTTACATTTTGAGCTCATATTTGTAATTTCTTTGATCTATGGGTGGAGTTACAGCTCTCATTTGGTGTTTGCATAAGGTTGATGCTTGCCTTTTTTTTTTGAATAGCTTACGTTCGACCAGGATTGTAATGTGGTCAAGGGGTGTGTTATTAAAGAACATATGCCAGTCATTGTGACCATGTGGTGTGAGAAAAAATCACAATTTCCTCAGACTTTTATATGGACTTTTGTATAATTAACCTCCTCAAAGAAGCTTCGCTCAGAATCCTTGTTTGGAATTGGAGTTCATGAGCGTTCATCCTGTCCTATGGTCAATAATCAATAAAAATGATGAGTTTTTGTGTGTCCTCCCACCAGGTATCCATTCTGAACGCCAAGAAGAACATGAACGTCGGCATTTTCCTCAAGCAGTTCAGGCGGTGAGTGCCTCTATCCCAAAATGTGAGGCATTAAACAACAAAATCCTGCCTTTCCAATTCCTGTCAGGTTCTGGGCAGAATTCCCATGCAGTCACACCTCTGAGCTTCCACAAGTCTCTGCAAGCAAGGCATCTGAATATTGCCTCAGGGCAAAGCTGAAGGCTGAAATGTGACTTCCAGAACATGACTGTTGCGATAAGAGGGGTCAGATCATTAGCAGCAGTTCTCTCCTTAGTCATACTGCGTCACGCATGGATTAGCTCAACATCAGGACAGACTAATATATTCACTTTGAGAAGCGGATGGATCAATATTTAGGTGCCGGAGTATCTTGAGACACTAGTTTGTGTGGTGTGTGATTGTGTGTGTGATAGCAGGCCGAGGCTTGTCCTGTGTGAAGATGTTTTTCTGTGCTAAGCAACATGATCCAAAGTGTTTTAAGCAACGAGGGCAAAGTACAGCCTCGGCTAAGCTCTTCTTTAACTAACCTACAACAAAAACAATGTGGAAATCAGTTGGTTGACCACTTCCTCTTGTTGGTGAGTTCACAACACTGCATAAGTTCTGCATTGATATCTGGATTTGGTACATTTTTAATGTGGAGTAGAGTGAATTTGATTGGTCCATCCATAGATAGAGGAACAAGGCAGCCAGATTAAGAGAGTAAATATATAACCTAGATAAAGTGTCCTTCATAATAACCTATGTCCATGTTTCACATAACTAACTTAAAACATTACTAAACCTATCTACAGCATTATCACCTTTCTCAGCCCAAATTATTTGAGATGTATTCATTAAAATATGATAAAAATATCTAGGCCAAAAATTAAATACTGTAACTTTTCACTCATTTAAGTCAGCAAAACTTTGAAAAAAGTTAGATGTTGTTCCTGAAATGGATTAACATATTTTAAATAGTTAAATGCATTATTTCTTAGATTCAATGTTTAGAAAATTATAAAAAGAAATGTTTCATTTTTAAGGAGTTACAAAGGACTGTTTAAATTACATTATATTTCACTGTTGTCAGAAGAAAACCAAATTGGTAACTTTACAGGAAAAGGAAAAAACTTACTTTACTGTTAATGTAAGTCAGTGGAAATGGACTTTTTTCCAAGTCATTTTAGGTCGTTTCTTTTGGTCAATTCTTTGTGAAATTTACACACAATGAAAAGAGCAACAGGTATTTTCAAATTATGTCAACAACTGAAAAACGACAAAAATGGAGATAAAAGGTTTTCTTCCAACAGCAGCGATGTCTGTATCTGTATATATCTATATGTCAAGTTATTGGTACTGGTATTGTTATTGGAAATTTTGAATGATAGCCAGCCCTAATGTATTGATTTGAAGATACACTGATGTTGGAATTGATTGTAATCAATTATCAGAATATTCAATAAAGTATGTGCTTATTTTTGGGCCAAAGTAAGGAAAATGGGCCATTTCCAAATATAAAAAAACTTTGATGTATTTTTTTAAATTCTGTGTAAAAAATTAATAATAATTTTTGATTGTACCAAAATATTGAAATCAGATCAAATTGTGGTGAAATATAAAATTACATGTTGCACTGAATGTTTTCCTTAACAATCAGAATAGGATTAACCATTGTAGGGTCAGATTTACACCCCTAAATCCTGCCTTATCTCATCTCTTTGTCAATTGAACTCCCTGGAACAGTGGTTCTCCATCCTGATGCAACTAATTAACTACAAAGCCCTTCCTAGGGTGACCTGGGTGTGTTCGAAAGGTAAAATGCTGCAACATGCTGGGCAGTGGATCTCCAGGACTGAAAACCACTGACTAACACAGTCAACCTTCCCCACATGGGTGGACTGATTTTACCAAAGATATTTTACTTGTTTAGGCCTTTCTTGGCAAGACTGTGCTCACATTCTCACTGCCTTTGCAGGCAGAGGTGCTTACAGAATTACCAATAGCCCTGCGATATTGAGGCGTGTATTTGCTTGTTTAAGATATTTAAAGGAATGCCTAATCTCTGTAATAGATTCTAACAGCATGTGCAGATTGGCGTCTATTTTAAGTGTGTTTCAAGTCAATACACTGTACAATACAAATGTGGTAGTTTTTGGCATATGTGGTTAATGAGACAATGTGCACAACACAATCAGTTTCATATACAATAACTCTTCTTTAACCCTGCAGGTCAGTCAAAGAACTTATTGAGGATATCTGCCTTGGCAAGAGTGAAGGATTTGGCTCAGGGAAACTGGAGGAGCTGTTAAAACTACTGCCTGATTCTGGAGAGGTATACTTATGTTTAAATATAGTTCAGCTTAGACAGATGTGATTCAAGATAAAGAGAACTAATAATTCCCATGTTAGCGTTTCATTGTGTCCTAATAATTGATTCATGCAGTACTGAGAAAAAAATGATATTAAATGAATGAACCACACATCATTCAGATAACTTCCACACGTAACTGCCATTGAGTACGTTATTCATTTTTCAGCATAAATAAAAAAAGCATAAAACATATATTAACAAAAAATTACAAATAACCCCCAAAAACTAAATATATGTTTTTATTAATATTTTATATCTCCTGCTTTTTCTTTTAATTACAGCTTCCGTTCTTTTCAAGAGTCTTACATTCAGTTTTTTTTACGGAGCCCCCCTGGTGACAACCTGTATAAATAAAAATAATGCATGGCCATGACTTAGTAAGGCATGGGAACAAAATAATTAAGTCATGGCTACAGCTTAGTAAGGCATGGGAATGAGATAATTAAGTCGTGGCCACAACTTAATAAGGCATGGGAATGAGATAATTAGGTCGTGGCCACGACTTAGTAAGGTGTGGGGATGAGATGCTAATGCGTGGCCACGACTTAGTAAGGCGTGGGAATGAGATGCTTAAGCTTTGACCACAGCCCCACACCTTACTAACTCGTGGCCATAACTTAAATATATTGTTCCCACGCCTTACTTAGATGTGGCCATGCATTAGGCTCTCATTCCCACACGTTAATACAGCATGAATTTTTTCATTTATACAGGATGTCACCAGCAGGGCTCCGTAGTTTTTAAAAAAAATCTGCAGGAAGACGTTTCCACACCTCCAAAGTTCAGTCTTGCATTTTCTGCTTCTCATCGTCCGAGAGGTCTGGACTCTGGGGTGGTCAGTCAGTGGATCTGAGCTTCTTTGTTGGATTTGTTTGCAAATTTTCCTTTTCTCAGTAGCAGCTTCTTGACAGCTACACATCCTTTCAGACTGATAGTGTTGAGTTGTTTTCTCACAGTGGAAGGATGAACAGAAACACCTGTGGATTTTTATTATTTAATTTGGGTCTCTGATATGCACCTCACTCTCGTGTGTCCTTCATTTTCCATCTTCTGTGGAAATGACTGTCAGTGATCGCAACCGGGCATCAGGGCACATCCTATCAGGGTAAAGTGGGTGGGGAGGGAGGGGGCAGACCGTTTTGGGGCTTACTTTGAGTTCTGTCACAGCAGACATTAAAAAGGCTCTGCTCATTTATCTGAGCCAAAACAATCTGTGTAGTATATAATTACAGCTTTGTTAAATACAGATATACAGAAAATCAAATCAGATCTAACATAGAATCGCAAATCATACCTCAAAATGAAAAAGTGTATCTTTACACCTCTGATAAGTATATTTATCTAATAAACACACACACACACACACACACACCCACACACACAGACACACACACACATTTTCTAAACCGCTTATCCTTCTGGGTTGTGGAGTCATTGGGCGGGGGGCAGGATACACTCTGGACAGGTCACCAGCCCATCACAGGCCTCTAATAAATATAATAAACATATTTATAGTTTTTCGTTTCATTTTATAGTCATTTTGCTAACAGTTTTGTGCTACTTTATTGGTTATATGAGTCTTCCTCAGTGTAATTATTTCGTTTCGATGTGTGTGTTTGATTATGGTTTCAGGTGAAAAAGCTTCTTGCTTATAAAGGAGACTATTCATCCCTTTCTGAGGCTGATCAGTTCATGGTGCAACTTGTTAAGGTTCCATGGTGAGTCATAGTTTGTACAGTCTTATGCGTTCTTATGTACATTTGATCTCTTTTCAACATATAAATTCCATTCACTGCAGTTCATGTTAGCGGCTGATAGCTTTCTCCTCATTGTTTGAGTTAAGCAGCCTAGTTGCATATTAGAGCTAGTAAGAGGAGTGGAGCCCAATTAGCTTATGCAAATAATATCATGTTAATTAGAGGTTTTTTTTTGTTCACCTTGTTAGTATTATTTTTAATACTTTATTATTTAATTTACAATTTTTATTTATCATAAATTCTTTTTCACACAATACACAACATAAAAAGACTTGACATGTAGTGTCATTGTTTCTTCTTATCTTCACGTTTAATCCACTAGCTATGAGGAACGACTGAAAAGTTTAGTTCTCAAAGAGGAATTTCCCCATTTTATGGATGAGGTGAATCACTGCATTGCCATTATGACTGCTGCTGGGAAAGGTAATGTCCCACCCTGTTTTTTCATCCTCTCACAATAGACCATAACCTAATCTGCAAGTTGTCATCATCGTGACGTGACATTTTTTCTTTGTGGTTTGCCCGTTTTCCCAGTCCTGGAGCCCCTGTACTACATTGTACTACATATGATACTGTACAACTGTAATAGTGTTTTTCCTGCTCTAACACCTCTTATCAGTGTCAACTCATTGCCAAATCCTTTAAGAGGATGAATTGTTCTTTTTTAATGCCTACCCATTGCCCTTTACATTGTCTGTAAATTTCTTGAAGAATGGAGTGAAAGAAATGACCCAAAATGACTTGGAAAAAAGTCTGGTTCCATTGACTTACATTAAAAGTAAAGTAGGTTTGTTCCTTCTCCTGTAAAGTTATAATTTTGGAGATACGAGATTGTCTTCCGACAACAGCGATATGTAGTTAAAACATGACGATCAAATCTCAAGCTGAGAACTTATCAAGGAATTACCATAAATAGAAAATGACTGTACATTATTTAACATTTAATACCTTTTTTGACTTACCAGCTTATATAAGTAAACGTTAAATATTGAGTAAAATATGAAATAAAACTTCTTAAATATGAAATAATATTTAATAATGATTAACTAATTAAATATATAAATATTAAACAAAATACATTCTGGTGTCTAACCTGCAATATTTCTACCTACACTGTATGTTAAAACTGAATTAAATAATAGCAATTATTGATATAATAGTGAATCTTTTGAACGCTCGTATATTTGGTAAAACTATTAATTTGAAATGTTTGTATGGTTTTCTGGTGTGACTATTTTGGGAATTTCAGTTGCAAATATTGTATTGTTTTTAGTTTTCAGAAATTAGAAACAGACAAGACATCAAACATATCAGCCAGGTTATAGCTTTATATATTCCTGCTGTTGGAAAAAAAAACCCTCTCCAACATGGTAACTTTACAGGAGAAGGAAAAGGACATACTTTACTTTCAATGTAAGTCAAGGTATCCAGACTTTTTTCCAAGCAATTTTCAGTCGTTTCTTTTGTCCATTCATCATGACATTTACACACAATGTAAAGGGCAACAGGTATTTTCAAATTATGTCAAAAACTGAAAATGACAAAAACAAGGTTTTGTTTCATCAGCAGCCACATACTAAGTAGTAACAGAGCAGAACTGGTTGTTTTCAGTTTTGTTATAAGTTAAGCAGACAGAAGAAAAAAAAAACAAGATTTGCAGGTTTTACTATTTACTATTTACTTATATGGGCTAACTTTCCATTCTATCTCTCATCTGTCCTTTAGAGCTCCTGGACTGTCTTGATCTTCACTCCATCATCCGCCTTGTGTTAAAGACAGGAAACTACATGAATGCTGTGAGTATTTTTATTTTCTATGAATGCAGGTCTTCGCATTTATGTTGAAATCGTTCAGTTGGCCACAAAAGTCATAAATTGACATATATTATTCCCTTTTTACAGGATGGCTATGCTGGCAGTGCTGTGGGCTTCCGAATGACGTCTCTCTTGAAACTAGCCGACACGAAAGCCAACAAGCCAGGAATGAACCTCATGCACTATGTTGTGATGGTAATATTAAAACTTTCTCATGAAGTGACGTCAGCAGAAAATGATTATACTATGTTTGTCTCTTATGTTGCTTCTGCACATCCTTAACAGCAAGCACAGAAGAGCGACGCTGCTCTGCTGAAGTTTCCCGAACAACTCGCACACATTGGAGAAGCATCAAGGTAAAGAACCCACGTAAAGCTGCACTAAGTAAGATTTTTCTTGTTAAAATTGAAAGAAGGAGAAAAAAGCATGTTAAAATATGGTGTCTGTGCGCTGCTGCGAGTTGCTCTGTAAGGCCTAAAATAGTAATCTACAAGTCAGAGGTGTTAGTTTAGACGTAGATCAGTCCTATATATGGACTTGTGATGTGGTAAGGCGAGGCCTACCCCATCACCAGTGAATACCATCCCTTGCACTATAAAATATGTGTGTGTATAGATGTACTTACTTGTGTCTGCCTGTGAAAGGAGAATTAGCAAAAGGGGGACAGCAGGGAGACCTATGTACCTTATCCTTATCGGGAGGATCCACCGATGGAGAGAAAGGGGGGGTCTATTCCTCATCTAATATCCTGTGGGAGGAAAAAGAAAATAATTAAGTTGTTATAAGTTAATGGGCTCAGACAATGTATATACCGGTAATGAATTGTTTAACCTAGGTTGTTTGTATATAGCGCTGTCATTTGTTTCATGTGTAAGCCACACGTAAAACCCAAAATCCTCTTCATGGGGTTTAACAACTTCACAGGACTTATCAGACTTATTTAGTGTAGCTATAAACTGATCTCATTGCATTTCTACATGGATTCATTTATGTTTGATAAAAAGAACAAATAGTGACTTTATATTGCAACATATTCTATAAAAGGCCAAGATCAATAGATGTGTTGAGCATGGACCCGCAGTCCAATAAACCTGCTTTTGTTTACTCCTAAAGTTGAAATTGATGTTGTTGCTGTTTCTCCTGTTTGGTTTCCCTTCACTAGTTTGATTTAGGGTAGGGCCTCCTTTTTGCTGACTTCCACAGACCTTTTAAAGGAATGTGCTTATGGAGCCTGATGCGATATTATATGAAGGAGTGTTACATCAGCACACAGCATATCTTTTCACTTCATTGCAGAATCCACAAACAAGACATTGAATCAGAATTTCAAAGAAAAGTGAGCGAAGTCCAGGAGCTAAAAAAGAACACTGATAAACAAAGTGACCTGGCGGAACAGATGAAAGACTTTTTTGAGGTACGTTTTGCCCCCTTTGATTTCCTTGCATCACCTTAAAAGGAAACTGCACCGATTCTGTATAAGTCATGTTGATAGGAGGATCAACCAGGGGTTGTGGTGTCTACAACACAACAATAGCCATTTTATTTACTGTCCAAAATGACCAGTGTGTGTTTTAGATGTAATGTTGAAAATAGTAAAATAGTGGTAAATTGTGAAAAATATATTTTCTTAGGGGACTAATTTGCCCTACAATGTGCTGCATGTAGCTCTCTTCCATGAATGTATTTAAAATATATGTTTTAAGTCTAAAGTTTCTCGAAACTATTGTAAAACAATGTATTAGGTACATCAGGCAGTGTGTTTGTAACCATTTCATATAAAACCTTCTATGAGGAGGCTTTTAGAGGCATTAAACACATTAGGTGTATGGTTCTCATCACAACCACTGTGAACCGTTCTGACTTAAGTTTCTCTAGAACAGAGCATTTCCCACCAAAATGCTCTCAGTGACTTTGTTTACACCATAATGGTTGAATTATGCAGCATAGACTTCTAATCATATAACATGTTACAGACATGTTGCAGAACCAAAAGAATATCGTAGAGTTTAGTTCTGTTATTCAGTTGTTTTTCCGCCAGCTGAGTTGAACAGGAACACTTCCACACTTGATCTGTTCTGGTCTGAAATTACTAACCCTTGGCAGATCATCTTGTTATTCCAATAGTCTAGGAAAATGTGACTTATGGGACTCTGTAAAGGCCATCATGATGCTGTACAGGCGAAACCTGGGACTGCAATCACCTCACCTCTGATCTGTAACCTGTTTTTTATTGGCTGTCTTTAGTGTGCTGAGTCCAGGATAGCTGAAACGAAAGCTTCCTTCCAGACGCTGAATGCACTCACCGAATCAGTGGCTGAATATTTCTGTGAGGAGGCCAGTGACTTCAAACTGGACGAGTGCTGCTCCATCTTCCACTCCTTCTGTGAAAGGTTTAAACGAGCCCTTCAGGTAAAGGCCTTGTCCCAGCACATGGGAAACATATCAATGGGAGGCTTTAGTTATACTTTAGGGCCTAATACTTTACAGGAGAAGGGAGAAATATTCATTTTAATGTACAGTCATATGTAAAAGTTGCATAAGATGCAAAACGCATATGGTCAAATTTCATGCTTTGTTGATTTTCTGAAAACAAGCTAATAAGGGAACAGATTTTAGTGCATTTAACGAATTTAGTGAAGTTAACATATTGGAAAAAATAAAACATATAATGTAAAATGTGCAATGACTTTTGCACAGGCCACATTTTATGTTTTTTTTTTTTCTCAATGTGTTAAATTCGGCAAATAAACAGTAGTTGTGCTTTAAAATGTGCAGAGGTGTGTTCTCTGTGGAGGATGTGTTCACGTATTTTCACTCAAAAAAAATAAAAAATATTGACCAGGAGCACCGAAAATTTCGTATTCTTTGTGAAATATACATAAAATGCATGGGAGTTCTGGCATTTTCAAATGCTGGCATAAAACAGTAAAAACTGACAAAAAATTCGATTTTTAAATTAGTAGATTTTCATATCGTTGTTGTCGGAAGAAAAGCTTGTATCTCCAAAATGATAACTTTACAGGAGAAGGAACAAAAACATACTTTACTTTTAATGTAAGTCAATGGAATCAGACTTCTTTCCAGGTCATTTTGGGCTGTTTCTTTTGGTCCATTCATCATGAAATTTACAAACAATGTAAACGGCAACAGGCATTTTAAAATTAGGTCAAAAACTGAAAAACAGCCAAAAAATGGAGAAACAAGGTTTTCTTCCAACAGCAGCGATATGATACTAGATTAGTAGATTTTCATATGAAAGCAACAAGTTATATTTTCATTCTTAAGTGTTTTTCCTGTTAATGCGATTCTTGATCCCTTGCAAGTTTGACTGCAAAAGTGTGACAAACTATTAGCTGGTAGCATCCATAGCCCTAAAAAAATATATTCAATGGTACAAAGGAAAAACAGAAGCACATAAAGGAGTACATTTGAAACATTTATTCAAACAATTGTTAAAATTCAACCTTCATACATTCATTCAGAGATAAACTGGCTTTACAAGGTCTTCAGACATCCCTGTTTGAGAACTAACAATATGAATAATGGCCAATTTAAAGCAAACAAGAAATGGATTCTGCAAACCACGTTTACATGAATCCAAGCAGGGAAATCATTTAGTCACTCAACATTAAATCAACAGATTTTCAAGTCTTTTAAATAGGAGGATTTAGCATTGGAAGCTGCCCCTTCAGATGAGCTAACACTGTAGCTAGCTGGTGCTGAGGTGCACTCATCATGTTTTGCACAAGGTCTTTTAGCAAACTTTAATGAAACAATACAAAGTATGGCGTTTGTATGAGTGCATTAATATTCATCTTTACATTTGACTGTCAGTTGGCATAAGTCTCCCTGTTAATAGTTTTGCCACTGTGCTATGAGTAAAATCTTTGACATAGATTATTCAAAAAGTTTTTCAGCTTCAGGAGTGCAATAAAAACAGAATCTTCCTCCAGATCAGAGGTGTCAAACTCTACCTGTAAAAGGGCCATATTAAAATATCTCTTCAAATCTGTGGGCCAGTGAAAAAAATGTTTTTATTTGATTTATTTATTCATTATTCATTTCACTTTTAATGTTGTGCTGTAACCTGAACTCGCCATTGTTTATTCAAAATATGCAAAAACTTCAATAGTAAAATACGAACACTTGTAGTAGATCCCTGAAATGTTACATGGACATTTGAAATATTCAAAAAAATGTAGATGTCCCCAGGTGCTCAGCCTTTAAAACCTTAAAAATCTCAGCCTTAAAAATCTATTTGCTTGAACTGGACACCTGGCATCACTTCTTTGCTGCAAGTTCATTAAGATCTGGGCTCATTTGCTGAGCTAATGTAAAATGTTTACATCGGTTAAACTGAAATGCATTTTGGTGGTATGACAGGTGTGGAATTGTGCAGAATTGTTTAGAATTGAGGTGTAAGCACTGTCCTATAGACTGTGGTTGGGGTAGGGAAAATAAGTTTGTGGGCCGGATAGGATTTTGTGGCGGGTCTGATTTGGCCCGTGGGCCTTGTGTTTGACACATGGGCTCCAGACGGTCAGGATAGAGTGAGTCAGACATTATTCATTCCTCAGTGTCCACAGTTTCCTAGTTTAACAAATTTACTACCACCACTGTTCTCACTGCAAGTTTGTTCTGAGGAGTTGTACCTTCTCTTGATGGAGAAAGTAACGCCTAGGGGTGGTTATGATTGGCAGAGAGGCATGTCAGTCATTTTGCAAATGGTCAATTTGACCGCCTCCCTCTTTCTTCCCAATGTAATTTATTAAACTGTGTACAAACTTCCTTTCTCAGGAGAACACGGAGCGTGATTTGGCTGAGGTCAAACGGAGACAGCGCGAGAAGCTTCAGGCTGCAACCAAACGCCGCTCCACTGCCACCTGCTCCATGCGGGATAAAGACATGGAGGGGGTAGCGCTGGAATGTGTTCTTCAGAGATTCCTCACAAACCGTGGGTCTCACAGGCAAGGCAGGACCCCCTCACCCACCGGAATCAAGCTGTCTGAGATCACTTCGCAGGAAAACTGCCCTGCCAAAAACTCCAAAAAGCCCAACTGGACCTTAAATCCATCACAGACTTCTGTGGATAAGGAGAATATGGAAGATACAGCATCCAAAAAGTCAGAGAGCAAAATTTCTAGTCCCACATGGAAAAAGCCTGCAAGCAGCACCCCTGCAGCCAACCGTGCATCGACGACCTTGGCAGCAAGTGAGGATGTAGACAGTCAAACTGAGGAAGAGGCGCAGAAACTGAGGGAAGTGTCCCAGAAAGTGCTGCGCTACCAGTCTAGTCGAAGCAGCATTTCTTCAGGAGAGTATTTTTCACCTGTCTCTTCTCCTCGCAGACGGGTGTTTCAGGAGGACAAGGAGAAAACACTGTCCAATTCAAATGTGGAGGATGTCCCCAAACCTCCTGCAAGCCAATTAGTTTTGATCCAAAAAAGTCCAGGTAGCATCAGTCGCCGACACTCTATTTCCATACCAACGAGAGCTTCACAAGGCAGTGACAGTGAAGAGGACATGTTTGTCCCCAGCTCAGAAGTGAATGGATCTCCTAGAGGACAGATTGTCTCCCTGGGAAACATTGGAAAGATGAGATCTGTGGACGGCTGCCTGCTTTCCACAAAGGCAAGACTCGGATCAGAAACCACTGGAAATGTATCCAATAATATATCCAATAATATGCCAGCTGATGTGCCAAAGGAGAGCTCAAAAGAAGTGAGCTCACCAGCAGTGTCGAGCAAGGTGGAAGCAAAAGAAAAGACTGAGGAGAGTTCAACCAAGAGTAAAGTTTCCCAAAAACAAACCAAAGAGAGCTCCCGATTCATATCCTTCTTTAGGCGCTTGGGTGAAAAGGCCAAAACGAACAACAGAGAAGCTGAATCCAGCAGTGTTGACCCATAAAATCTCCTTTTGAGAACACTAAAGTACTTTTTCTGCAGGACTGTTTGACTAACATGAGGTGGGACACGGATGTCATTAGGTAAAACTCTGTGTAGACCAAAGGTGCACTATTTTTAAATCAAATTTTCAAAAAAAGTGTACTAATGTACTAATACACATGCAAACAGGTGGCAGCTACTGGCAACGTTTAAGTTATTACCATGACCTTGACGTGTCACTAAGCTGCAATTTAACATATGTTCCACTGGGATGCACTGTTTGACAGAGGTGCCTACAGCATCTTTTCAGAGGACCACCTTAGAGGACCCAGCTTAGGGTAAAAGGGCACAGTTTCTTGTTTTTTTTTGTTTTTTTTGTTTTTTGTTTTAATGAGGTCAACTTGTGACATTTGCACGGGTTTATGGACCAAACAACAGTCGCATTTTTTACACAACCATTTTCCAACCTATTTATCCCTTTAATTTTTTAAACAGGCTGTTTTTTTACTGTGCCTTTAAGACTTACATATGTAAATGACCTCTTTTCTGATTGGCTGCCATGTATTGGGCCTCTTTCTGAAAACAGTCCAGTTTGATACATTCCCTAGGAATGGGCCTGGCTAATCTGCTGTAGACTGATGAGGCTGATATATGTCAATGCATTTGTTTTTGTGACATCACAAAAAGCACTAATTTAAAGGCTGCTTTTGCAGCTTAGTTTCCATACATGGACTGTATGGACTAGATATGTTAAAACTTTCATAATGTTTAAATTTTATATCAAATATAATTTTTTTTCCATAATATGTGTCCTTTAAATTAAACGATGAGTAGCTCCTTATTCTCACGTACATTTTACAGTATATTGGTGTGAGGATTGGAAAGTGTCAGTAAATAGGCATGAATGGCACAGTAATACATTACAGTCTTGGGCCACCTTCACAACTAACTGTCCAGACAGGTCATTGTTTCCTTATTGAACACACCATATAGCTTTTTGGCACTTATGTGGAGTGTAAGTTTGAAAAGGAGCTTGATCTCAGAACTGTTGTAAAACAGTTTCTCTGGCATCAGGCAACAGACTCATAACCACTTTATATAATTGTTACCTCTGGTGCTGTTATTCAATTGCTTTCCTGCCAGCAGAGCAAAACAGGTTATGTCAGGTTTGTAAGACAATCTTGTAGCGTTGGGTGCCGTTACTCAGAAAGCATGGGGTAATTAACTTTATTGATGCCAACTTAAATACCATCTGATACCATGATATAGTGGGAAAACATGGTGATATTGAATTTTATCAGTGCTGTCCAGTTCTATTCAAAGCCTCCTTAATTTTACTTTTGCCATAGTTTCTGTTCTTTGCCTTTGTAGGGCCAGATACCTGACGTTTGTCAGTCCAGCAGCTCCCTAATCATCTGCCTAATTTCCTGCCCATCCCTTGAATTTAATAGCAGATAAAGGAGAGCTTATCCTTGATCAAGACATACAGAGCTCAGTCAAGGAGAGAGTTAGCACCTGCAGATCCCTGATAATGTGGTGTGATCCGGCATGGCCAATGCTGCGCATGGGTTTGCAGCCCTCTGACAGCCGGGGACCACCAGGGGGTCCCGCAGGGAGGGTGTGTGCGGGGGGTGGGTTGGCTGGAGAGAGGCAGTCTCATAAGTAAATATGTGGGTCACTGTAGCTTCTACACAATGAATATCTTGTTAATCCTGTAAAAAACAACTGCATTTGATCAGTGATTTTGAATTTGTTGATGAAAAAATGTCCCATGCAAATCAATCTGTGTTCAATTATTATTTAAGATGAACTAAAGTAAACATGGCTCAAAGAAAGCGTTCACTTTCTTCATTTCAAATACAGTATATTGTCTACAATTGTGTGTATGCTGGCTAAAGATTGTTTAAAATTCATCTAATTCCGATCTCTTCATTTTTTCCACTGTTATAGTACTGCAGTGTCCCCTTTTACTGGCACCTTAGCCTAAAGCACTGACAGTATGCAGGCGCGCATTGCTGGTCAGTCTGTGTCATTCTCGCAATATCTGCTGACGTGGCCGAGGGAGACGGCCTGCTCCTGCCATCTGGCTGGATGCAGTCTCCATAGCAACCGCCTTCTTCTCGCTGAAAGCCGAAGATGTCTGTCTTTACCTCCCCCATCCGACACTGTAAACAGTGCCTGACCCTTAGACTGTGCCGGCTCATTACTGCTCCAGCATTCGCCCGTTACTTTCCCTCTTCTCTTTCATCCCTCCATCCTTGCTCCACCCAGTGCAGTGACTCATTGGCTCCCAGACCCCTGCAGGAATGCAGTGGATAATGACTATTACAGACATTGGTTTTAAACTGCATTATAATAAATAGACGATTGAAAAGAAGATCAGGGCTCATTTGATTTGGTGCTTTGGAGGGTTGCACTTTGCCCATGTCTAAATATCTAAATGTGCTTCTCAGGAATTGCCGCAACAGCTACACGTCTAATTTACATGAATTACAGTAGGTAGGCAAATAAATAAATAAATAAATAAATAAACCACAAACAAACAAAAACCAGGTTTGATGTTAAGGACTTGGTGATATTTACCTAATCAGCAGTGAAATAAACCAATAAAAGTGAACGGACAGGGCGTTGGATTCAGGTCCATGCCTCTGCAGTAGCCTCCAGAAAAAAAGCCCTGACTGATTTTCCATATTCAAAACCCACCCATGCTATTGGGCCGTGTAACTCCTCCCTGCGCTCCGCGAACCAATCATTTGGCACGTGAGTCTAGCTCCGCCCCTCGCCCCTCCCTCAATCTCAGTCAACTGTTTCCTCCCAGTGTCTCCCATAGAGAGAAAGGATTACCGTTTATCACTGAAAAAGCCTTTGTTTTCTTTCGTGTAGGATTTATAATAAGCGGACACGACTCAGTCCGTTTGGGGATGTTGGCGATACTTTAATTCCTGACAGAAATTCAAGTGAGTTCAGTGTTTCTTCACCGTTTTCCACGCTGCTTCTTGTCAAATTAGAGTCCGTTGAACCGTCTCGGTCCTCCTAGCTGAATGCGTAATGTATTCTTCTCATTCTTTGAGGGAAGAGGATGAATAATTCATTGTATGTCGTCTGACGTTTGTGCTGGAGAGGCCAGGATACAGCTAAAGCCTTGTTTTGGCAACGTTAAGTGTTGTAAATGTCCACAGCTGAAGTCATCTTTTTCTCCAGCTTGTTGTTGGAATTTTCCCGTTCCACCTTAAATGGTGCCTTAAATGCACCATTTAAGGTGGAACGGGAAAATTCCAACAACAAGCTGTGGAATAGGAATGCAACTTCAGCCTCGTTGTAAATAGAGCCTCTCAGCTGGCCTTACTGTGTTTTTGAACGGAATGGCTGCTTATCTTTTTATGTTATTTCAAAACATAGGCTGTGCACAGGTCCTCCATCTGCACCTTGATGCACTGGTGCTGTGGTTTGGGGATGCCAGTCTCTCTCTAGTCCAGATCTCTCTGCCCTGTCAGAGCAAAAGCAGTCTCCAGCTGCACCAACAGCATCATTGGTGCAGGCTGCAGTTAGAAAAACTCAGCAGTGCTAGGCCTGGTGCCTTAGATTTATATGTACTCGGCTGTTAAAAGGTCAAAGTATAAGCAAAATCCGTGTAAAAGTCTAATTCCTAATGTTAAACCGACCAGCACAAGCATTAATATTGTATTGTGGCCCTGTCAGTGGGCTTGATCTCCCTTCACCAGCCTGGAAACAGCTGGCACCAAATGGGGGGGCCTAGCAAATGCTCAGCTGTTCCTTAAACAGTGTTATTGTATTAGAGCAGAGTGATAAAAAATGTCGTAAACTATGTGTCATATAATCTTCAATGCAGAATGACAGCAACTCAACTCTGTCATTCACTGTCTTAATTCTTTTTTTCAGTTTGTGAAAAGAAAGGATGGCCTGACATTTTTTTATCCTGCCTTTCTTTGCTTGTTACTTGATTTTGTCAGGCCACTCAAGGGAGGTTTGCATAGCAGTTTAGATTTAATTAAGATTTAACCATGTGTTTATACAGCTGTTCATTTGATGAGGTTTCATGGCTTAAGTTTTGATCTTCTCAATGGTTTATCCTATCACAGAGTCGTTTGCAAAGGTTTGAGCACCCCTGGTCAAATTAAGTGTTTTATTGATTTTCTAAGTCAAAATAAGTTAAAAACATTCTCTAAAGGGAACACACTTATATTTTCTACAAAGGTTAGTGCGCAGTGTCTATTTATTTGCTAAAAAAACATAAAACGGGCCATAACATTTGCACAGGCAATAAAGCAAATAATAAATGGGTATTAAAATGTGTGCTCTCTGTAGAGGATGTGTAACTTAATTCACTTAGAAAATTAACAAAAGCTTTTATCTTGACCAGAGGTACCCTGACTTTTCCATACGACTGTACACTCTCAGAAAAAACAGTACTAAACTGTCACTGGGGCAGTTCCCCTCTTGTCATTGAGGTGGTATCCTCAAGGGTACATCTCAGTACCTTTAGTCAGGGAACATAATTGTACCAAAATCCATTGAAATGATATTTTCTAAGTTGTACTGACTCCACACACCAAGTCTCGTCTCCAGGCTTTTTATTTTATTGTTCTGTTTTAGAAAATTATGTTATGAAAAGGTACAAATATGTACTTTTCCACTGGATAAAACTTATTTGATATACACAATTAGACCTTAAAACCACTGTTGTACCTTTGAGGGAACATTTACATTGTCTGTACCTTGATGAACAAAACATGTTCCTGCACAGAACCTTTATTTCTAACAGTGTAGCTGACAGTACTCATTTGAATTCTGGTCCGACAATTCAAACTGTAGACTTTTTGCATGGAAAAGATCTTTTACTAGGTAATCGTCAAGATAGAGGTTGAGTTAAGGACCCAGGAGGCACCATTTGGGTTTTTACAATGGGTAAAAATTCTGGTGCTCATTTTATGAACTTCAGACAAGACACACAACATCATAAGGGATATTTATAAAAATTAGTTGAATCAGTTTGCGTAACACATTTTTATAAAATAATTGTGTCAC